CTTACCACATTCATACAAACATGTAACATACTTACCACATTCATACAAACAAGTCACATACTTACCACATTCATACAAACATGTAACATACTTACCACATTCATACAAATATGTCACATACTAACTACATTCATACAAACATGTAACATACTTACCACATTCATACAAACATGTAACATACTAACTACATTCATACAAATATGTGTCACCTGGGTAAGTGTTGTAATCAGATCAGACATGAACCTATATGTATAGGAGGATTATGCTAATATTAAATGTAAAGTTGCTAGGATATATTTGAACTGAGATCAAATTGACAAGATTTAGTGAAATTCATTTATATATGATCTCCGTTTTAAATAACATGGTAGTGAGTTGAGTAAAAGCGTGTTTGAGTGAGAAAACAGCCAGCCACCGGAGGGTGATAATATATTACATGATACAGCAATGACAGGACAGCCACGATCGTTACCAAGCAGTAACGGCCACAGCACAAGCATGCATTTCTTACACCTGATTAAAACAGTAGGATTTATCATATTCTACAATGTGTATAAATCATCAGTTTCACAGTCAGTTAACTCCACCAATCAGCAAAACAACTTTTGATGAATTTGAAATCATTGCTTTCTCAAAAAGTTATAATTATTTACACAAAGCTGTATTTGTTTACCTATAGTAATTTTTGTTTACCTCAAGTAATTCTATTTACACAATAGTTATATTTAAGGACTGAAATGCATCCTTTTAACATTTATGATGGTATAACATTACATTCAAATATATCCCATGATGTACGGTAGCGTATCTTGGATAATATGTTCGAACAGCGCTGTAATTCATTCCATCACAAATGTTAACAAGAGTACCGCGGGGCGGAACAAAATACGCCCGTCGAATGCCATACAGTGTTATATACTTTCTTACATTGAAATAAGATCTGCATCATTCTAAGAGTGGTTAGCTGATATGCTACAAAAAATGTAGGAGAAATTCTTCGGACAAAAAATCAAATACTGAAATGAACAAAAAGCAATAAATTTTGCAAAAATTGTTGAATCAAAATTCTTTTATGGGAAACACAACTTCATATCATGATTATAATGTATACCAATTTCAAAGAGATCGATCGAAAAATGTAGGATGAGATCTCTGGACAAAAATCAAATACTGAAATGAACAAAGAGCAATAACTTTTGAGAACTAGGTTTACTGAAGGACTGGTGGGTACATGTAGGTTTATATAAGGACTGGTAGGTAGGTTTACGGTTTATAAGGACTGGTGGGTTGGTTTATCTAAGGACTAGTTGGTTGGTTTATCTAAGGACTGGTTGGTAGGTTTATCTAAGGACTGGTGGGTACATGTAGGTTTTTATCTAGGAACTGGTGGATACATGCAGGTTTATATAAGGACTGGTGGTTTGATTTATCTAAGGACTGGTTGGTTGGTTTATCTAAGGACTGGTTGGTAGGTTTATCTAAGGACTGGTGGGTACATGTAGGTTTTTATCTAAGGACTGGTGGGTACATGCAGGTTTATATAAGGACTGGTGGTATGGTTTATCTAAGGACTGGTTGGTTGGTTTATCTAAGGACTGGTTGGTAGGTTTATCTAAGGACTGGTGGGGAGGTTTATATAAGGACTGGAGGTTTGATTTATCTAAGGACTGGTTGGCAGGTCTATCTAAGGACTGGTGGGTACATGCAGGTTTATATAAGGACTGGTGGTTTGGTTTATCTAAGGACTGGTGGGTAGGTTTATATAAGGACTGGTGGTTTGGTTTATCTAAGGACTGGTGGGTAGGTTTATATAAGGACTGGTGGTTTGGTTTATCCAAGGACTGGTGGGTACATGTAGGTTTATCTAAGGACTGGTGGGTACATGCAGGTTTATCTAAGGACTGGTGGTTTGGTTTATCTAAGGACTGGTGGGTAGGTTTATCTAAGGGCTGGTGGGTAGGTTTATCTAAGGACTGGTTGGTAGGTTTATCTAAGGACTGGTTGGCAGGTCTATCTAAGGACTGGTGGGTAGGTTTATCTAAGGACTGGTGGGTAGAATTATCTAAGGTCTGGTGGGTGGGTTTATCTAAGGACTGGTGGGTAAATGCAGGTTTATCTAAGGACTGGTTGGTAGGTTTATCTAAGGACTGGTGGGTACATGTAGGTTTTTATCTAAGGACTGGTAAGTACATGCAGGTTTATCTAAGGACTGGTGGGTACATGCAGGTTTATATAAGGACTGGTTGGTAGGTTTATGGTATATAAGGACTGGTGGGTTGGTTTATCTAAGGACTGGTTGGTAGGTTTATCTAAGGACTGGTGGTTTGGTTTATCTAAGGACTGGTGGTTGGGTTTATCTAAGGACTGGTGGGTACATGTAGGTTTATCTAAGGACTGGTGGTTTGGTTTATCTAAGGACTGGTGGGTAGGTTTATATAAGGACTGGTGGTTTGGTTTATATAAGGACTGGTGGGTAGGTTTATATAAGGACTGGTGGTTTGGTTTATCCAAGGACTGGTGGGTACATGTAGGTTTATCTAAGGACTGGTGGGTACATGCAGGTTTATCTAAGGACTGGTGGTTTGGTTTATCTAAGGACTGGTGGGTAGGTTTATCTAAGGACTGGTGGGTAGGTTTATCTAAGGACTGGTTGGTAGGTTTATCTAAGGACTGGTTGGCAGGTCTATCTAAGGACTGGTGGGTAGGTTTATCTAAGGACTGGTGGGTAGAATTATCTAAGGACTGGTGGGTGGGTTTATCTAAGGACTGGTGGGTAAATGCAGGTTTATCTAAGGACTGGTGGGTAGGTTTATCTAAGGACTGGTGGGTACATGTAGGTTTTTATCTAAGGACTGGTAAGTACATGCAGGTTTATCTAAGGACTGGTGGGTACATGCAGGTTTATATAAGGACTGGTTGGTAGGTTTATGGTATATAAGGACTGGTGGGTTGGTTTATCTAAGGACTGGTTGGTAGGTTTATCTAAGGACTGGTGGTTTGGTTTATCTTAGGACTGGTGGGTACATGTAGGTTTTTATCTAAGGACTGGTGGGTACATGCAGGTTTATCTAAGGACTGGTGGGTAGGTTTATCTAAGGACTGGTGGGTAGGTTTATCTAAGGACTGGTGGGTAGGTTTATCTAAGGACTGGTGGGTAGGTTTATCTAAGGACTGGTGGGTAGGTTTATCTAAGGACTGGTGGGTAGGTTTATCTAAGGACTGGTGGGCAGGTTTATCTAAGGACTGGTGGGTAGGTTTATCTAAGGACTGGTGGGTAGGTTTATCTAAGGACTGGTGGGTAGGTTTATCTAAGGACTGGTTGGTAGGTTTATCTAAGGATTGGTGGGTACATGCAGGTTTATCTAAGGACTGGTTGGTAGGTTTATCTAAGGACTGGTGGGTACATGTAGGTTTATATAAGGACTGGTGGGTACATGCAGGTTTATATAAGGACTGGTTGGTAGGTTTACGGTATATAAGGACTGGTGGGTTGGTTTATCTAAGGACTGGTTGGTTGGTTTATCTAAGGACAGGTTGGTTGGTTTATCTAAGGACTGGTGGTTGGGTTTATCTAAGGACTGGTGGGTACATGTAGGTTTATCTAAGGACTGGTGGGTTGGTTTATCTAAGGACTGGTGGGGAGGTTTATCTAAGGACTGGTGGGTAGAATTATCTAAGGACTGGTGGGTGGGTTTATCTTAGAACTTGTTGGCAAGTTTATCTTAGGGACCGCATGCACAATGAAATTGTAAGAAGAAATAATTTAAGAGTTTTTTTTACAAAGGAACCACATTACTTTGTTCTAATGAGAATTTATTTTTGCTATTAAACCAAAGTGGAAAACTTAAGGGTTATTGCTACATTTTTCTTGGCTCACATGACATTGATTCAAGCATCTTAAAAGTTATACATTGATTCAAGCATCTTAAAAGCTATAAGTCTTTGCTGAAATTAAAATTGGGTCTAAAACTTCAAAGACATTAAGTTTTACATTTAAAAATTAATTTGCACACAACATGCAATAGCAAGTCTATCCACTAATAATACACGCTTGTCAGCTAACTGACCAAACCACACCAATAAAGAGGCTACTGGTTATGTATATGGGGATGACTCAATATGTACACACTGTTTTATCTAGCTAAACATATAGAATACAGATATTGGATTAGTCATGTTATTACCCAACAAAGCAAACCAAGCATCAGCATGACAGGGGAAGGGACTAGCTCAGTACAAGTTGTATGGTCATATTACTGTAGTCACATGATTGATAATGACAGGGAAAGGGACCAGCTCAGTACAAGTTGTATGGTCATATTACAGTAGTCACATGATTGGTAATGACAGGGAAAGGGACTAGCTCAGTACAAGTTGTATGGTCATATTACTGTAGTCACATGATTGATAATGACAGGGAAAGGGACCAGCTCAGTACAAGTTGTATGGTCATATTACTGTAGTCACATGATTGGTAATGACAGGGAAAGGGACTAGCTCAGTACAAGTTGTATGGTCATATTACTGTAGTCACATGATTGATAATGACAGGGAAAGGGACCAGCTCAGTACAAGTTGTATGGTCATATTACAGTAGTCACATGATTGGTAATGACAGGGGAAGGGACTAGCTCAGTACAAGTTGTATGGTCATATTACTGTAGTCACATGATTGATAATGACAGGGAAAGGGACCAGCTCAGTACAAGTTGTATGGTCATATTACAGTAGTCACATGATTGATAATGACAGGGGAAGGGACCAGCTCAGTACAAGTTGTATGGTCATATTACAGTAGTCACATGATTGATAATGACAGGGAAAGGGACCAGCTCAGTACAAGTTGTATGGTCATATTACAGTAGTCACATGATTGGTAATGACAGGGAAAGGGACTAGCTCAGTACAAGTTGTATGGTCATATTACTGTAGTCACATGATTGATAATGACAGGGAAAGGGACCAGCTCAGTACAAGTTGTATGGTCATATTACAGTAGTCACATGATTGGTAATGACAGGGAAAGGGACTAGCTCAGTACAAGTTGTATGGTCATATTACTGTAGTCACATGATTGATAATGACAGGGAAAGGGACCAGCTCAGTACAAGTTGTATGGTCATATTACAGTAGTCACATGATTGGTAATGACAGGGGAAGGGACTAGCTCAGTACAAGTTGTATGGTCATATTACTGTAGTCACATGATTGATAATGACAGGGAAAGGGACCAGCTCAGTACAAGTTGTATGGTCATATTACAGTAGTCACATGATTGGTAATGACAGGGGAAGGGACTAGCTCAGTACAAGTTGTATGGTCATATTACTGTAGTCACATGATTGATAGTGACAGGGAAAGGGACCAGCTCAGTACAAGTTGTATGGTCATATTACAGTAGTCACATGATTGATAATGACAGGGGAAGGGACCAGCTCAGTACAAGTTGTATGGTCATATTACTGTAGTCACATGATTGATAATGACAGGGAAAGGGACCAGCTCAGTACAAGTTGTATGGTCATATTACTGTAGTCACATGATTGATAATGACAGGTGAAGGGACCAGCTCAGTACAAGTTGTATGGTCATATTACAGTAGTCACATGATTGATAATGACAGGTGAAGGGACCAGCTCAGTACAAGTTGTATGGTCATATTACAGTAGTCACATGATTGATAATGACAGGTGAAGGGACCAGCTCAGTACAAGTTGTATGGTCATATTACAGTAGTCACATGATTGATAATGACAGGTGAAGGGACCAGCTCAGTACAAGTTGTATGGTCATATTACAGTAGTCACATGATTGATAATGACAGGTGAAGGGACCAGCTCAGTACAAGTTGTATGGTCATATTACAGTAGTCACATGATTGATAATGACAGGGAAAGGGACCAGCTCAGTACAAGTTGTATGGTCATATTACAGTAGTCACATGATTGGAATGGGTTTGGTATATATATATAACATATGACAAAGTAGACCATGCAGTCACATGTTGAGCAATGGTTTGGATATATATAACATATGACAAAATAGCTAATGCAGTCATATGGTTGGCATTGAGTTAGTTATATATATATATATATATATAGTCACATGACAAAGTAGACCATGCAGTCACATGATTGGCAAGGGTTGGCTATATATAACATAAGGTCACATGACAAAGTAGCCCCAGAGGTAACCTGGTCACACATGGTCCCTGAGAGGAGGAAGGTCTAGTTAGGCAGTACTTGTTAGTGACTAAGTGGTATCAACCTGTTATTGGAGCCCGGCTGAGCAGGAAGGAGCAAGTTCTCTTTGCTCTCCAGTCGAAACAGTGTTTCAGCCCTCCTAAAGAACAAAATGTTAATCAACAAAATAAAATACCTGGTATGTACACGATGCTTCATGCCTTTGACCTCATTCTTCTACCATACAGAACTGTTTCTGCATGTATAATGTTTACTACGATATCTAATTAAACATGTACAGACTACGATGCTGTCAAATTGGTAGTAGATATAGAGCTATCACAATGCTTCATTATTGCACTAACAAGGATGAGTGTAATTAAGACATGTATAATCAATGTTCTACTGTACTCCTCTGAACTAAGCTGGACTAAGTTGGTCTGATTAAAATAAAGAATACCATCCATCAATGACATATAAACAGGGAAGCCAGTTGGAGTATTTAGCAGAATTTGAAAGCAATGGTTTTCATCCTAATAGACATCTACACTACAGACAAGCCAGTTCACAACAACAACTTATCATAGAAAACATATTGACACAGAAATGTATAAGATGTGATGAGTGAGCTGGAGGTGAATATAGGGTGGAGTAGGAGGAGCAGGTACTCACCTTCCATCAGGCTTCTTACACTCGGCTGTGTCTCTGCTCACTGTGGCCTGGCTTACCTCTGTCAATCTGACAACAACATGTAACACCTGTATAACCTTTAGCACTAATCATTCCTTACACACTGATTGGCTAGTGACATTTATATATATATACTTATTTACATTTGTGGCTCCAATTGCGAGATCTAAAAAGAATAAAAGAAGGGAGATAATTTGAAAAGTCACTTTTTTAACCCAATATGTATCTGGGGAGAACGCTAGATGAACTAAAAATAATGTAATTTTCATTTCCAAGACTATAGCTTGATAATGAAAGTTATCTCCCTTGGACTGCTGTGTCCATGACCAGACAAAAAAAACCCCATTTATTGTACCAGAGACACAAGGGTTGTGTCCCATATACTGACGAACAGTTTACTGAGGTCTGTTCCGTTTATGCTGAACAACCGGTTTGACGGTTTATAAATGTAACAATTTCGGGTATAAATCCTGGCGGACCTGCAAATCTTTATGCAGGCCTTGCAAGGCTTTGTCAAGGCTCCCCTGAAAGCAGTATCAAATTACTAGGTCCGACCTTATTTCATAAATGAACAACTATGATCCAACCGTTTGGATAGCAATAAACGACTACCCGCCCTTTGTACAGCATGTTTTGCAATCCATTGCTTATTTGTCTATGATTTAATGGCCCAAGTATACAATAGGTCATTTACAGATATTACACTTGTACAGTACAATGGTTATGTGACTGGCAGCAATGAATGCCAGTGTTAGTTTTATAGACAATATTAGGGGGCTTGTTATCCCACACAATGATATTGTTTAGCCTGTTCTTCTGTTCTGGGGTAAACTATTTTAAACTCTGAGAACTTTGGTGGGGGTTTTAACTCTTCTCTGGACACTTCCAGAATGTAACTTGCTTCCTACCTTGGATTTTTTCCCCCAACTATTCCCTTCCCTGTGGACTATGGGGAGGTAAAAGTTAGCTTTCTTGGAGACTTTAGGGCAAAACCTGATTCCTAACCTGGAGATGTTTGGGGTGTAAATTATATCTGGGGACTTTTGGAAGTAAACTTTTGCCTACCCTGGGGACTTTGGGGGTGTGACAGGCATGTGGAATTTAAAGACAAGCTCGGGCTGGAAGTTGTCCTGATGACAGTGGATGCCCTCAGACTCATTGCGCGCATCCTTGGAGGAGGGGAGGTGCATGCTCTGGAGGTCAGGATCCAATATGTAGAGGTCCTCTGAGGATATATCTGTGATATAGTGTAGGTGCTCTTGGGTTCTATCTATTCGGAAAAATCTCTCGGCTGTCGTGGCTGTAATTAAAATAATTATACAAGACAAATGAACACCGGTGATTTGTTACTGTACACTGTATATGTAAATGTGGATGTTACACTGTTATCTTACTTGAAACATAATCCAATAATGAATATTGTATACATGTATAATAAATCAGTGTTTATATAGCCAAGGCTATTTCAGAATAAGTAATATGACATCACAACACTCGTAAATACCTAATATTTGTAGCAGTGTATAACCTACATGGTGGATTGAAGTAGATCCCAATCAAGCTTATATAACAGGAATACCTGTGTTATAAAATTACATATTGACCTACAACTTATGTTACCCATAACTTACAATCTAGGAAACACCATCTGTGTGTCAGCCGCTGGGAACTCTCTGTCAAGTCATCCTGTAATGAAGGACAGGAAAAACAATTACACCTCCACGTGGTGGCCAAATCATGTCAAACACATATGGTGACCTAAAGCTCCACCTGGCGGTCAAATCATGTTAAACACATATGGTGACCTAAAGCTCCACCTGGGGGCCAAATCATGTAAGACACATATGGTGACCTAAAGCTCCACCTGGCGGCCAAATCATGTTAAACACACATGGTGACCTAAAGCTCCACCTGGCGGCCAAATCATGTAAGACACATATGGTGACCTAAAGCTCCACCTGGCGGCCAAATCACATAAAACACATATGGTGACCTAAAGAACCACCTGGCGGCCAAATCACAAATACAACATGTATGGTGCCGTAAAGCTCCACCTGGTGGCCAAATCACATAAAACACATATGGTGACCTAAAGCTCCACCTGGCGGCCAAATCACATAAAACACATATGGTGACCTAAAGCTCCACCTGGCGGCCAAATCACATACATGTATACCACATACACATAGAGAGTGATTGACCTTGGCAGATATTTCCCCCAGTTATAATGAGTGTACAATAACACTGGAGAAAATATTTTATATGAGATCTTACAGGAGTTTCCATTTCATATTAATTCATGGATTTTTGATTATTACAAGCCTTTGGTGAGATTAAGTGAAAATGTTTGACATGTTTCATGAATCTTATATGAAATTGAAACTAATATTAATTCCTTTTTAACACATTACAAAGAATTCTGAGAAAACCATACTAAAAAAAATGTTTTTCCGTGTCATTCATGAAGTTTGCAATTCTGCCCCCTTGGCTATATCTGTTGTCTACATAATGACACCATGATATAACCTGAAGTCTATTACATCACATCTTTTTCACCTGATGACATCACAGCATGTCATATGATATGACTTTATACGCAATCATTAAATACCTGATAATTTGTCACAATCCAGATACTGTACACATGACCAGTTCTCAAACACTCATGCAAACAACTTTCCTGGTGACTTTCAATTTCTAAATATAGCCTTTTGGGGAATCCCCTATCCTTTAACCATTAATAATCAGCTGTTAGATGCTTTAAAGACTGTTATATAGTTTGTAAACTTTTCACATTAACAATAAGTTGAACATGTATTTGTCAGCCTGATAAGACCCTATGTAATCTGTCAGATAAAGACAGTTGTTACTGTGTGTAATCTGTCAGATAATGACAGCTGTTACTGTGCGTAATCTGTCAGATAAAGACAGTTGTTACTTTGTGTAATCTGTCAAATAAAGACAGTTGTTACTGTGTGTAATCTGTCGGATAAAGACAGTTGTTACTGTGTGTATTCTGTCAGATAAAGACAGTTGTTACTGTGTGCAATCTGTCAGATAAAGACAGTTGTTACTGTGTTTAATCTGTCAGATAAAGACAGTTGTTACTGTGTTTAATCTGTCAGATAATGCCAGTTGTTACTGTGTGTAATCTGTCAGATAAAGGCAGTTGTTACTGTGTGAAATCTGTCAGATAAAGACAGTTGTTAATCTGTCAGACAATGACAGCTGCTACTGAGTGTAATCTGTCAGATAAAGACAGTTGTTACGGTGTGTAATCTGTCAGATAAAGACAGTTGTTACGGTGTGTAATCTGTCAGATAAAGACAGTTGTTAATCTGTCAGACAATGACAGCTGCTACTGAGTGTAATCTGTCAGATAAAGACAGTTGTTACGGTGTGTAATCTGTCAGATAAAGACAGTTGTTATTGTGTGTAATCTGTCAGATAAAGACAGTTGTTCCTGTGTGTAATCTGTCAGATAATGACAGCTGTTTCTGTGTGTAATCTGTCAGATAATGACAGTTGTTACTGGGGGTAATCTGGCAGAGAAAGACAGTTGTTACTGTGTGTAATCTGTCAAATAAAGACAGCTGTTACTGTGTGTAATCTGTTAGATAAAGGCAGCTGTTACTGTGTGTAATCTGTCAGATAAAGACGGTTGTTTCTGTGTGTAATCTGTCAGATAAAGACAGATGTTACTGTGTGTAATCTGTCAGATAAAGACGGTTGTTACTGTGTGTAATCTGTCAGATAAAGGCAGTTGTTACTGTGTGTAATCTGTCAGATAAAGGCAGTTGTTACTGTGTGTAATCTGTCAGATAATGTCAGCTGTTTCTGTGTGTAATCTGTCAGATAAAGGCAGTTGTTACTGTGTGTAATCTGTCAGATAAAGGCAGTTGTTACTGTGTGAAATCTGTCAGATAAAGACAGTTGTTAATCTGTCGGACAATGACAGCTGTTACTGTGTGTAATCTGTGTTACTGTGCGTAATCTGTCAGATAAAGACAGTTGTTACTGGGTGTAATCTGTCAGATAAAGACAGTTGTTACCGTGTGTAATCTGTCAGATAAAGACAGTTGTTAGTAATCTGTCAGATAAAGACAGTTGTTACTGGGTGTAATCTGTCAGATAAAGACAGTTGTTACGGTGTGTAATCTGTCAGATAAAGACAGTTGTTCCTGTGTGTAATCTGTCAGATAAAGACAGTTGTTCCTGTGTGTAAGCTGTCAGATAAAGACAGTTGTTAATCTGTCAGACAATGACAGCTGCTACTGAGTGTAATCTGTCAGATAAAGACAGTTGTTACGGTGTGTAATCTGTCAGATAAAGACAGTTGTTACCGTGTGTAATCTGTCAGATAAAGACAGTTGTTACGGTGTGTAATCTGTCAGATAAAGACAGTTGTTCCTGTGTGTAATCTGTCAGATAAAGACAGTTGCTACTGTGTGTAATCTGTCAGATAAAGACAGTTGCTACTGTGTGTAATCTGTCAGATAATGACAGTGGTTACTGTGTGTAATCTGTCAGATAAAGACAGGTGTTACTGGGTGTAATCTGTCAGATAAAGACAGTTGTTACCGTGTGTAATCTGTCAGATAAAGACAGTTGTTACGGTGTGTAATCTGTCAGATAAAGACAGTTGTTCCTGTGTGTAATCTGTCAGATAAAGACAGTTGTTCCTGTGTGTAATCTGTCAGATAAAGACAGTTGTTTCTGTGTGTAATCTGTCAGATAAAGACAATTGTTACTGTGTGTAATCTGTCAGATAAAGAGTTTTTAATCTGTCAGATAATGACAGCTGTTACTGTGTGTAATCTGTGTTACTGTGCGTAATCTGTCAGATAAAGACAGTTGTTACTTTGTGTAATCTGTCAAATAAAGACAGTTGTTAATCTGTCAGATAATGACACCTGTTTCTGTGTGTAATCTGTCAGATAAAGACAGTTGTAACTGTGTGTAATCTGTCAGATAAAGACAGTTGGTACTGTGTGTAATCTGTCAGATAATGACAGTGGTTACTGTGTGTAATCTGTCAGATAAAGACAGGTGTTACTGTGTGTAATCTGTCAGATAAAGAGTTGTTAATCTGTCAGATAATGACAGCTGTTACTGTGTGTAATCTGTCAGATAAAGACGGTTGTTACTGTGTGTAATCTGTCAGATAAAGCCAGTTGTTACTGTGTGTAATCTGTCAGATAATGACAGCTGTTACTGTGTGTAATCTGTGTTACTGTGCGTAATCTGTCAGATAAAGACAGTTGTTACTGTGTGCAATCTGTCAGATAAAGACAGTTGTTACTGTGGGTAATCTGTCAGATAAAGACAGTTGTTACTGGGTGTAATCTGTCAGATAAAGACAGTTGTTACCGTGTGTAATCTGTCAGATAAAGACAGTTGTTACTTTGTGTAATCTGTCAAATAAAGACAGTTGTTACTGTGTGTAATCTGTTAGATAATGACAGCTGTTTCTGTGTGTAATCTGTCAGAGAAAGACAGTTGTTACTGTGTGTAATCTGTCAGATAAAGACAGCTGTTACTGTGTGTAATCTGTTAGATAAAGACAGCTGTTACTGTGTGTAATCTGTCAGATAATGACAGCTGTTTCTGTGTGTAATCTGTCAGATAAAGACAGTTGTTACTGTGTGTAATCTGTCAGATAATGACAGTTGTTACTGTGTGTAATCTGTCAGATAAAGACAGTTGTTAATCTGTCAGATAATGACAGCTGTTACTGTGTGTAATCTGTTAGATAAAAACAGTTGTTACTGTGTGTAATCTGTCAGATAATGACAGCTGTTTCTGTGTGTAATCTGTCAGATAAAGACAGTTGTTACTGTGTGTAATCTGTCAGATAAAGACAGATGTTTCTGTGTGTAATCTGTCAGATAAAGACAGCTGTTTCTGTGTGTTATCTGTCAGATAAAGACAGTTGTTACTGTGTGTAATCTGTCAGATAAAGACAGTTGTTATTGTTACCTGACTCGCTATATAAATGCATATTAATCAATTTCGACTGTTTCCCAGACAATTCACCAAACGAACTATAGCTAATGTGTGCTACCGTAAAACTGTTGACTGGTCACGTGAAACTGTTGACTGGTCACGTGCAACTGTTGACTGGTCACATGTTAGGTAATCAAATGCACCTATAATTACAAGCACCCCGATGATCAAGCGTTTTTGGTACTGGATTGTTGACGGTTGTCTGTCAAAACCATTTTCCCTCGGAGTTGGGACCCACAAAATGAACTGTTTCCCTCGGCCTGCGGCCTCGGGAAACAGTTCATCTGGAGGGTCCCAACTCCTCGGGAAAATAGTTTTGACGGTTGACTGATAAGGCATGAAACAACTGTATACTGTGTGTAATCTGTCAGATAATGATGGTTGTTACTGTGCTGTAATGGTTCCTCACTGCACTCAACCATTTCACCCTTTACATCAGAACAATTCAAAGCATTCAGTTGAAATGTAAATTTCTCAACCAATTAAATTTGTTGTGAAATTTTTACTTACCTGGTCAAGTTTGTCAATGATGACTCGGACTTGTGAAAGGTCAGAGTTGTTGTCCACGACGATGAGTCCAAGTGGGACCGCTGATGGGATACACAAACAACCACAAGGTTTTATTTGACGAGGTCAGTAAAATGTTAATGATTTACAAATGTCTCAGTACTATGTGTTAATTTAGCCTGGTTATGAGGTACAACAACCTCAGTACTATGTGCTAATTTAGCCTGGTTGTGAGGAACAACCTCAGTACTATGTGTTAATTTAGCCTGGTTGTGAGGTACAACAACCTCAGTACTATGTGTTAATTTAGCCTGGTTGTGAGGTACAACGACCTCAGTACTATGTGTTAATTTAGCCTGGTTGTGAGGTACAACGACCTCAGTACTATGTGTTAATTTAGCCTGGTTGTGAGGTATAACGACCTCAGTACTATGTGTTAATTTAGCCTGGTTGTGAGGTACAACGACCTCAGTACTATGTGTTAATTTAGCCTGGTTGTGAGGTAGTACGACCTCAGTACTATGTGTTAATTTAGCCTGGTTGTGAGGTATAACGACCTCAGTACTATGTGTTAATTTAGCCTGGTTGTGAGGTATAATCACCTCAGTACTATGTGTTCATTTAGCCTGGTTGTGAAGTACAACCTCAGTACTATGTGTTAATTTAGCCTGGTTGTGAGGTATAACAACCTCAGCACTATGTGTTAATTTGGCCTGGTTGTGAGGTACAACGACCTCAGTACTAAGTGTTAATTTAGCCTGGTTGGGAGGTATAACGACCTCCGTACTATGTGTTAATTTAGCCTGGTTGTGAGGTACAACCTCATTACTATGTGTTAATTTAGCCTGGTTGTGAGGTACAACGACCTCAGTACTAAGTGTTAATTTAGCCTGGTTGGGAGGTATAACGACCTCCGTACTATGTGTTAATTTAGCCTGGTTGTGAGGTACAACAACCTCAGCACTATGTGTTAATTTAGCCTGGTTGTGAGGTACAACAACCTCAGTACTATGTGTTAATTTAGACTGGTTGTGAGGTACAACGACCTCAGTACTATGTGCTAATTTAGCCTGGTTGTGAGGTATAACAACCTCAGTAATATGTGTTAATTTAGCCTGGTTGTGAGGTATAACGACCTCAGCACTATGTGTTAATTTAGCCTGGTTGTGAGGTACAACCTCATTACTATGTGTTAATTTAGCCTGGTTGTGAGGTACAACCTCATTACTATGTGTTAATTTAGCCTGGTTGTGAGGTACAACAACCTCAGTACTATGTGTTAATTTAGACTGGTTGTGAGGTACAACGACCTCAGTACTATGTGCTAATTTAGCCTGGTTGTGAGGTATAACAACCTCAGTAATATGTGTTAATTTAGCCTGGTTGTGAGGTATAACGACCTCAGCACTATGTGTTAATTTAGCCTGGTTGTGAGGTACAACAACCTCAGCACTATGTGTTAATTTAGCCTGGTTGTGAGGTACAACACCCTCAGTACTATGTGTTAATTTAGCCTGGTTGTGAGGTATAACGACCTCAGTACTATGTGTTAATTTAGCCTGGTTGGGAGGTACAACGACCTCAGTACTATGTGTTAATTTAGCGTGGTTGTGAAGTACGACCTCAGTACTATGTGTTAATTTAGCCTGGTTGTGATCATCGGGTACCAGGATCTCTGTAACATGATACATTAAAGTGTCTACCTAGACCAGTGAAGTAAATATATATATATTCAACTGAAATGAAAAACACATTATTAGAATTTAATTTGAAGTCAGAACATTAGGTATGATGTCATCCTGGTATGTCAGAATATGCTTAGATTTACATCTCAATTAGACAGCAAGGTTTATAAAATTACTCTTTCAAAATTGGATTGAATTTCAAATTTTAATCAGCAATTGAATTGGAAAAAGACATTTGTACTTTACTGCTGTGCTGATGTAGCTGTGCTAGCTTATGAGTGATACATACTTTCATCAAGGTCAGTCTCATCATTTTTTTAAATCCATGCAAGCAGATGTTACAAAAGAATTCAAATTATTATAGAAATATGAACTTAAGATAAATAGAAATGAAAAGAAGGATTATGATTTTTAAGTGCAGAATACAATGCTTGAAGTTAGCCACATTTGTTATTCATTTTGTGTGGCAAAACTACACCTACATACATAATAAGGTTGTACCTGTAGAGCACAGACAGTGACGGTACTGGGTGAATGTCAACATGCCAATATCACTAACCTAGTACAGCTGGCTTTATGGTTTTTGGGGAGAATTAATCAATACAGTTTGAAGATTTCACCTAATTTGGTGTCACCAAAACTCAAGGCCAAAACCATTTCTGTAGCTGATGCTGACTGTTTGGTGGTGGAGTCCTGCAGCTTCTTTCTCACACTACTCAAGGCTCTAGGTGCCATCAAACCAAACAAACCAGCAATAAAACATCTTCTTCTTATGAGATTTTAATTCATATAGTTATAAATCACAGGATTTGTTGGTACCGGACAATATCTTGATCCTATCATCTGCTTTAATAATGTGTCTATTTGAAGGTGTGCTGATTTCTAGTCCTCAATGCTCTAAAATGGTCAAACCTGCTGTTGGCTGATCTTACTGTATAATACAATAACAATCAGGTAATCGAAACCTAACAAACTACAGTTCTTCCTCATTGTTAGTTTTGTTAAAATCAATATAATCTAATATGGTGCGCATCTTTAGTTATTACCTAGTATGCAACATCTGCCTGGAGGTTAGTTATAATTATGTGTATACCACATCTGTTACCTAGGTAACCACAAATTTAGTAGAATATGCTGTGATAATATATAATTGATACCACTTATCTAAGTAACCAGCAGGTTAGTAGAATATGCTGTGATTATATTTAATTGATACCACTTACCTAAGTAACCAGCAGGTTAGTAGGATTTGTTGTGATTGTATGTAAATACTGGTTGCCAATGTAACCAGCAGGTTAATAGTATTAGCTGTGATTATATGAAAATACTGGTTGCTAAGGTAACCAGCAGGTAAGTAGGATTTGTTGTGATTATATGTTGACACCCATTACCAAGGTAACCACCAGGTTAATAGGATTTGCTGTGATTATATATGGACACTTGTTACCAAGGTAACCACCAGGTTAGTAGGATTTGCTGTGATTCTATGTTGACACCCATTACCAAGGTAACCAGCAGGTTAGTAGGATTTGCTGTGATTATATGCTGACACCCATTACCAAGGCAACTGTCAATACAGTTGAGCAAGCGGTGATTACATGTTGAGTTTAGACTTACAAGCTCCGCGCAGTTTGTCTTTATCATAGTTTAAATTCTCATAGTCAGCCATACTGATACGGGACACTTGAATACGAAGCCGCTCAGGCAAAGATGGAGGACTGAAAAAAGCCAAGTCAGGACTATATATGGACTGATACAGCTCCATCTAGCAGACATGGGCAGACTCTACAGACAAGGTATAAATGAGTAGGAGATGCTGTTCTGTAGACAATTAGCAAATGACAGTCCAGATTATTTTGACGATTTCTTTCATTATGTCTAAATGATTATTTTGAAGTTCACTATTATTCAGGATTAAAATTAATTCTTGAGTCCCTTTGTTTGCAGTTAAGTAAGTGATATGTGTACATAATGCTGGACTAATCGACTACAGTACATCTCCTGCCTTTTCATACTTGAAGTACCTTATAGGAAATACACATTGACCTTAGTCAGGTATCCCCCAAGGTCTGTCAGATAGGTATACTGCCATGTCTGCCTGTCATACACATCAAAGCTCAAATCTAGGACAAATCAAGTTAACAAACACAAATAGTGTTCAAGGAAAGGAACAAATCAATTCAAATACAAAGCTATCTCATTAATTATCACAATTGTTAGAAATATAAAAGCCTGTGTAATTATCATTTGCTATAGTCAATGTATATGATATTAAGTATAAACCTATATACACTGGTCTCCTGTGCTTCAGAAGGTGACAAGGTAGACACAGAAATCAGCTGTTTGGGAAAATTTAAATAATTAGGGATAGGATGGTCATGTGTATTAGTAAGGGTAATCAATAGGCAAAGAGGGCATGTATGTACCATTCAACCGCATTGGTTTTTTAAAACAATCATGGCAAAATGTTACCATTAATTGTAATAATACAAATACTTCCACTTGTCCGCTCTGCCTTCAGTACCAAGGAGTAGGTTCACTTCCTTTGTGTGACTATTCCTGGTCCCAAGGATACTTCAGAGCAAATCTAATTTTTAAATCTACAATCAACTGGTAAAGAGGGGTAGACTTTTATAAGTTAAACATCGGACTTCCCACTATAGGTAATTACTGTTTAGCCCTCAGGGGAGAGTCAGTCTTCCTATGTAAAACAATTGATCTAGAAGTTCCATGGATCAAGTATGCTTCGACAGCAAATTCAGCTGACATCTATATGTGTATATGGTTAAAGAACCTGGCGTATGACCATTGGACTAAGTCCTGGTGATGCCATACCCCAAAGCAAATCCTTATAGCATTAGTGTATTCCTCTTTTCACCCCTTGCAATTGTTTATATTCTTAAAGGGTGGTAATCTCAACCATTTACATGTGATGACTTAGGTACTAGTTCCCAGCAGCAGGGCAGATCCTAGCACCATTCCTGCAGGTAGCATCAGCACATGTCTTTACATGGCTGTAAACTGTATATATGGTTACTGTTTCCATGTTACAACCCAAGAACTTAGTCACAAGAATTGAGGCTGACCCTGAGATTAATAATCAACATTGAGTCCCCAGATTAAATTATTGTTAAAATCCTTTCATCCATACAGACAGAGAAGTGTTTAAAGATTTAACTCTATTCCCCCTTATGGGCCTTGCCTCTCTTCCCCTTAGAAGGGTGACACCCTTCCTTTAACCAACATTCAGTTCCCTTGCTCCATTTATATAAAGGTTAAATTTGGTTAAAATCCCTTTGTCAATACAGAAAGGAAATATTTTAAAAGATTTACCCCCATGTCCACTACTGGGCTGAGCCCCCTCTGGTCTGAGATGGTGGCAGGGGTGTACTCAGTATTAAACTATGTTGGCCAATCAATATATGTTCCAGGTAAACTTTAGTGAAAATTCTTTAATCTGTAGGAAGGAGAAATCCTTTAATCTGTAGGAAGGAGAAATCCTTTAATCGGTAGGAAGGAGAAGTCAATTTGCCAAAATAATGCTCTAGATCAAATTTGATTTAAAACCCTATCATCGGTAGGAAGAAGAGTATTTGAGATGATATACTTCCATTTCCCTTGCTGGGCCCAACCCTTCATTTACACAAGCTTGAGTCATGTTGTCCTGAACTAAGTGTGATGGGACAAAGGGACAAGGTCTAGTAGGATCCCCAACACCCAGTATACTATTAGGGAACAAATTACTTGTAGATGTATCTTACAAACACCAAATTTTTAAGGCTTTTTAAACCAAGTTTATATAATAATGCCTTGTATTGTTACAACTATACTTCAAACTTCCAGCTGAAAATTAAGTTTTTGTATCAAAACATTTATATAATGTATACTCCAAATAATATAAACATCAGAACTGAGGTAATTCTGTTTCTCATAAGAGATTTGTGATCTATTGATATTTACTTGGGATCAATCTACAAGTGTAACCTAAATAGTTAGCTAGTAACACCTGAGATATTGAGCCTTACTCGTTAGCAATGGGCATGGAGCCACGTCTCTTTGGTTTCATTATCATGTTGGCCTGGTTACGTAGGGAGATGTGGATTGTGGATGGGCTGAGGCGGCAGGGCTCACCATCCAGCTGCATTGGAATTGGCTTGAAGGTTTTGAGGCGCACCTCATGGCACTGAACCAGTCGCTCACCATGGCCTCCCATGTATAGCGCTGCCTATCAAGTAAAATATGTGAAAATGATGTACCATATATTTTAAATTTGTTAGTAAAATGAAATCAAAATGAGACAACATAAACAGTAAATTGTTCAACCACAACATTTCTATCAAAACACCCTCATAGAACACTCACATATCACCCCAAACCAACCCTCACACAGCACCCCAAAACAACTCTCATAGAACACTCACACAGCAACACAACCCTCACAGAGCACCCCAATACACCTTCATAGAACAATCACACAGCACCCCAACACAACCCTCACACAGCACCAGGAAAACCCCCCTCACACAGCACCCCAAAACAATCCTCACAGAGCACCCCAAAACACCCTTATAGAACACTCATACAGCATCCCAACACAACCCTCACATAGCACCCCAAAACAACCCTCATAGAACACTCACACAGCATCCCAACACAACCCTCATAGAACACTCACAAAGCACCCGCACAGAACACTCATACAGCACCCCAACACAACCCTCACATAGCACCCCAATACAACTCTCACACAGCAACCCAAAACACCCCTCATAGAACACTCACAAAGCACCCGAACACAACCCTCACACAGCACCCCAAAACAACCCTCACACAGCACCTTAAAACCCTCACACAGCACCCCAAAACACCCTCATAGAACACTCACACAGCACCCCAACACAACCCTCACACAGCACCCCAACACAACCCTCACACAGCACCCAAAAACAACCCTCCCACAGCACCCCAAAACAACCCTCACAAAGCACCCCAAAACACCCTTATAGAACACACACACAGCATCCCAACACAACCCTCACACAGCACCCCAACACAACCCTCACACATCAACCAAAAACAACCCTCACACAGCACCCCAAAACAACCCTCACTCAGCACCTTAAAACCCTCACACAGCACCCCAAAACCCCCTCATAGAACACTCACACAGCACCCCAACACAACCCTCACACAGTACCCCAACACTCACACAGCACCCCAAAAGAACCCTCACACAGCACCCCAAAACACTCCTATAGAACACTCACACAGCACCCAAACACAACCCTCACACAGCACCCCAACACAACCCTCACAGAAAACCCTCACCCAGCACCCCAACACAACCTCCACAGAAAACCCTCACACAGCACCCCACCACAACCCTCACAGAAAACCCTCACACAGCACCCCAACACAACCCTCACACAGTACCCCAACACAACACTCACACAGCACCCAAACACAACCCTCACACAGCACCCTAACACAGCACCCCAACACAACATCCCCTTACAACACCCTCACACAGCACTCAAACACAACATATTAAATAAACATCCTAAATCCACAACCCACATAACACCCTCACACATCACCCCACCAACCCTCTTTCAGCATCCTCACACAACACCCTAGCCAAACTTTCAACTCCATATGGTGGTGTTCTCTACCATTTGTCTAGTTTCACATTACATCAGAGAGCAAAGTTGTGACCTTGAAGTGAAGGTTCCGACTGTCACAAACTGTCTAGTGGTGTTACATGTAATTATGTACAAAATTCTTGAAAATGTCTTCACCAACTCAGAAATTATATATAGCTCAGACACAAAATAGTTAGACAGACAGATGAATAATACATAGCTGCAGCTTCAGAGGTAAAGGACTTATTACCTTGACAATCCTTTCTAGCGTCAGAGGTTAAGGACTTATTACCCTGACAATCCTTTCTAGCTTCAGAGGAAAAAGGACGTATTACCCTGACAATCCTTTCTAGCTTCAGAGGTAAAGGACTTATTACACTGACAATCCTTTCTAGCTTCAGAGGAAAAAGGACGTATTGCCCTGACGATCCTAGCTTCAGAGGTTAAGGACTTATTACCCTGACAATCCTTTCTAGCTTCAGAGGTAAAGGACTTATTACCCTGACAATCCTTTCTAGCTTCAGAGGTAAAGGACTTATTACCCTGACAATCCTTTCTAGCTTCAGAGGTTAAGGACTTATTACCCTGACAATCCTTTCTAGCTTCAGAGGTTAAGGACTTATTACCCTGACAATCCTTTCTAGCTTCAGAGGTAAAGGACTTATTACCCTGACAATCCTTTCTAGCTTCAGAGGTAAAGGACTTATTACCCTGACAATCCTTTCTAGCTTCAGAGGTTAAGGACTTATTACCCTGACAATCCTTTCTAGCTTCAGTTCTCTTTATACTCAGCAATTGTATATGTGGTTATATGGTGGAGATCTCAACCGTTTCCAGGCAATTAACTTTTTTTGGCCCCACCCTTAGCCCGTGGGGTCAGCCCCACCATATGTACAATTATGAATCCCTGCCTCCCATGAATGCTTCCGACAAAATATGATCAATATCCATGGCATAATTCTACAGAAGAATTCGTTTATAGCAATCTAGCCAAATTGCCCCCTTTTGGCCCCGCACTCAGCCCCCTGGGGGGTCAGCTCCACAATTTGTACAATTTTGAATCCCCACCACCTAGGGATGCTTCCAATCTAATATGGTTGATATCCATCACTTAGTTCCAGAGAAGAAGTCCCTTAAAGCAATATAGCCAAATAACCCTTTTTGGCCCCACCCCTCAGCCCCCTGGGGGGTCAGTCCCACCATTTGTACAATTTTGAATCCCTGCATCACATGAATATTTTTGATTAAATATAATTGATATCCAGTGCATAGTTCTACAGAAGTCATTTGTAGAAATATAGCCAAATTACCCCTTTTTGGCCCGGCCCCTCAGCCCCCTGGGGGGTCAGCCCAACCATTTGTACAATTTGGAATCTCCACCACCTAGGGATGTTTCCATTCAAATATGGTTGATATCCATCCCTTAGTTCTAGAGAAGAAGTCGCTTAAAGCAATTTAGTTAAATTGCCCCCTTTTTGCCCTGCCCCTCAACCCCCTGGGGGGTCAGCCCCTACATTTGTACAATTTTGAATCCCCACCACCTAGGGATGCTTTCAGTCAAATTTAGTTTAGTTCCAATCAGTCGTTTAAAGAAATTGTTGACAGACGGACGACGGACGCCACGGTATGGCATAAGCTCACCTTGGTCCTTAGGACCAGGTGAGCTAATAAATAACTACTAGAAGCAACTAGAGCTGGCAGACTTATACCCTACCTCAAGAATTGTAGGAATTGTTCTTTCAAGAACATTAAAAAAAATAGTGGCATTCCAAAAAAAAGTGGCATCACTTTTTAAAGAGGGCAAGTCAATTCTTTTAAACAAAAGGGCATGACTCCATAAATAGAGGAGGTAACATTTATATACTTTACACAAATAATCTCAATGTAAGTGTTACATGTACCAAGTATCATTCAAATTGGTGCAGTGCTTTGGGAGGAGTAGTGTGAACAATGTTTTTAAACTAAGGGGCATAACTCCAATAAAAAAATCCTATTGAAATATTTATCCAAGATGCGGAGTATCTTACTTTATCTGTGAAGTTTCATGAATTTCAGTTGAAAAACTGAAGGAAATGTGTGTACAGGATTGTATTGGTGAACTTTTTGCGTTTATATTGCCAGATCAAAATACGCTTTACTCGTAGATTATGTAAAATATGTATGTCGATTATTTTTGTGTTGCTTCTGTTTACTGGATTTTCCAAATCCTGAAAATAAAGTTAAATCCCCCATAAAAATATCTGGTTTTATAGATAAACTCATCCATTACAAGACCCCCTCGTACCATGATTCTCCTCAATACAATATCTCCATGTTCCCTTTCCATGTGATGTCATTACCATGCATCCTCAAACAACAACTTTAATTGCTTCCACCATAATACATCACAAATCACCCTCATATGATACTCCTGTAACCTATACATCTACTTCCTGTACATATAACATCACAAATCACTCTCATATGATACTCCTGTAACCCACACATCTACTTCCTGTACATATAACACCCCATATCACCCTCACATGATGCTCCTGTAACCTATACATCTACTTCCTGTACATATAACACCCCAAATCACCCTCACATGATACTCCTGTAACCTATACATCTACTTCCTGTACATATAACATCACAAATCACTCTCATATGATACTCCTGTAACCCACACATCTACTTCCTGTACATATAACACCCCATATCACCCTCACATGATGCTCCTGTAACCTATACATCTACTTCCTGTACATATATTACCCCAAATCACCCTCACATGATACTCCTGTAGCCTATTCATCTACTTCCTGTACATATAACATCACAAATAACTCTCACATGATACTCCTGTAACCTACACTTGTACATATAACATCACAAATAACTCTCACATGATATTCCTGTAACCTCTACATCTACTTCCTGTACATATAATACCCCAAATCACCCTCACATGATACTCCTGTAACCCACACATCTACTTCCTGTACATATAACACCCAAGTCACCCTGACATGATACTCCTGTAACCCACACATCTACTTCCTGTACACATGATACCCAAAATTACCCTCACAGGATACTCCTGTAACCCACACATCTACTTCCTGTACACATGATACCCAAAATTCCCCTCACAGGATACTCCTGTAACCCACACATCTACTTCCTGTACATATAACACACAAAATTACCCTCACATGATACTTCTGTAACCTATACATCTACTTCCTGTACCTATAACATCACAAATCACCCTCACATGATACTCCTGTAACCAACACATCTACTTCCTGTACATATAACATCACAAATCACTCTCATATGATACTCCTGTAACCCACACATCTACTTCCTATACATATAACACCCAAAATTACCCTCACATGATACTTCTGTAACCTATACATCTACTTCCTGTACCTATAACATCACAAATCACTCTCACATGATACTCCTGTAACCCACACATCTACTTCCTGTACATATAATTTACCAAATCCCCCTCACATGATACTTCTGTAACCTATACACATCTACTTCCTGTACATATAACACCCCAAATCCCCCTCACGTGTTACTCCTGTAACCTTCACATCTACTTCCTGTACATATAATATACCAAATCCCCCTCACATGATACTCCTGTAACCTATACATCTACTTCCTGTACATATAACACCCCAAATCCCCCTCACGTGTTACTCCTGTAACCTTCACGTCTACTTCCTGTACATATAATATACCAAATCCCCCTCACATTATACTCCTGTAACCTATACATCTACTTCCTGTACATATAACATCCCAAATCACCCTCACATGATACTCCTGTAACCAACACATCTACTTCCTGTACATATAACATCACAAATAACTCTCACATGATACTCCTGTAACCTCTACATCTGCTTCCTGTACATATAATACCTCAAATCACCCTCACATTATACTCCTATAACCTACACATCTACTTCCTGTACATATAATTTACCAAACCCCCCTCACATGATACTTCTGTAACCTATACACATCTACTTCCTGTACATATAATACCTCAAATCACCCTCACATTATACTCCTATAACCTACACATCTACTTCCTGTACATATAATTTACCAAATCCCCCTCACATTATACTCCTATAACCTTCACATCTACTTCCTGTACATGTAATACCTCAAATCACCCTCACATGATACTTCTGAAACCTATACACATCTACTTCCTGTAGATATAATTTACCAAATCCCCCTCACATTATACTCCTACAACCTACACATCTACTTCCTGTAGATATAATTTACCAAATCCCCCTCACATTATACTCCTATAACCTACACATCTACTGCCTGTACATATAATTTACCAAATCCCCCTCACATGAAACTTCTGTAACCTACACATCTACTTCCTGTACATATAACACCCAAAATCACCCTCACATGATACTCCTGTAACCCACACATCTACTTCCTGTACACATGATACCCAAAATTCCCCTCACATGATACTTCTGTAACCCACACATCTACTTCCTGTACATATAACACCCAAAATTACCCTCACATGATACTTCTGTAACCCACACATCTACCTCCTGTACACATAATACCCAAAATTACCCTCACATGATACTTCTGTAACCCACACATCTACTTCCTGTACACATGACATCATCACATAACCATTGCATCACTCCCTTAGGTACTCCTCATAAATCATTTCTAAACAGAAAACCTTACCTTGCAGAACTTGTAAAATGAAGATCAAATAAAAAACAAAGCATATTATATTTTGCACTTCACCAGCCAAGACATGCTTTACAAACCAAATCTGGTTAATACAGGTAAAATAGCATAGAAGATATGCCCTTGACAACCTCTAAGGATGGATGGAATTCAGACCAACGGAATTCAGACCGCCAGAGTCCTTAAAATATTTTCATAAAATGTTCTTAGCAGCTAACATGTACACTCACCAGAGAGGAGTAAGTGAACCCTATCACCTCCAGATATCCATCGTCATGGCGTTGAGGTTCAAAGCCAAGACTGTTTGGGTTACCCCAGGGTGTGGTACCACTGGCATATCTATAAATAGTTTGAATATCTATAAATAGTTTGAATATCTATAAATAGTATGAATATCTATAAATAGTTTGGATATCTATATATAGTTTGAATATCTATAAATAGTACGAATATCTAAAAATGCCAACAGATATTGCAAAAATTAATTTGACATATACATTGAATAAATGAAATTTCATCATATTGAATTGGTATATCAAGTCTGATATATAAAACACCATCAAAAACAATGATCTTCATTAAAGATGACAAAAGTTGTATATAAAACAACATTAATAATGACCTCTATTAAAGACTGCAAATTATTGTACAATATTTCAATTCAATAAATCATATTTACCTTGGAATGTTTAAAAATAATAAACAATGCAGTTTCATTTCTTGAACTTTCATGGTTAAATCTTTGCCGTCACACTGAATCAGAAAATAAGTTAGGCTCTCGACAAAGTTTGGTATCAAAGTTGAACAGGGTAAAGGTGAGAAATCCATTGTGTATGATGGTTAGGGTTAGGGTAAAGGTGAGAAATCCATTGTGTATGATGGTTAGGGTTAAGGTAAAGATGAGAAATCCATGGTGTATGATGGTTAGGGTTAGGGTTAGGGTAAAGGTGAGAAATTCATTGTGTATGATGGTTAGGGTTAGGGTTAGGGTAAAGGTGAGAAATTCATTGTGTATGATGCACTAATCTACTGATACTAAGTTGCATAATTTTATGATCCTCTGACTGTTAACACTTTCCAGACACACCAGCTGGAAGTGCGATTTTCAATTTGAAAGCTGTGACAATCCAGAGACACCAGTCATGATCAGTCAGTCGGTGTTTGAAATGCACGTATATTTGTCTGTTTTTTTGTTGCGAACCATGAATTAGTCAAATTATTGTTGAACTAGTTGCTTCATATTGTATAATGGAATGTTTATCTCTGTGATAGAAATCAAATGATGATCATGATTATTCTCTAGTTTACTTACAATAAGTTGTATGTGATCGGCTAATCCTTTCCAACTTCTTTTGAGCATATCTCTCCCTCCAGCCTGAAACACAGGAAAACCTCTTTATGTACACTGAAGGTATCTTATAACTCAACCTACATAGAATGAGTATGGCATTATAGCACATTATACATAGAATGAATATGGCATTATAACACATCGTACATAGAATGAGTATGGCATTATAACATATTATACATAGAATGAGTATGTCATTATAACACATCCTACATAGAATGAGTATGGTATTATAGCACATTATACATAGAATGAATATGGCATTATAACACATCCTACATAGAATGAGTATGGCTTTATAACACATCCTACATAGAATGAGTATGGCATTATAACACATCCTACATAGAATGAGTATGGCATTATAGCACATAATACATAGAATGAATATGGCATTATAACACATCCTACATAGAATGAGTATGGCATTATAACACATCCTACATAGAATGAGTATGGCATTATAACACATCCTACATAGAATGAGTATGGCATTATAACACATCCTACATAGAATGAGTATGGCATTATAACACATCCTACATAGAATGAGTATGGCATTATAACACATCCTACATAGAATGAGTATGGCATTATAACACATCCTACATAGAATGAGTATGGCATTATAACACATCCTACATAGAATGAGTATGGCATTATAACACATCATACATAGAATGAGTATGGCATTATAACACATCCTACATAGAATGAGTATGGCATTATAACACATCCTACATAGAATGAGTATGGCATTATAACACATCATACATAGAATGAGTATGGCATTATAACACATCCTACATAGAATGAGTATGGCATTATAACACATCCTACATAGAATGAGTATGGCATTATAACACATCCTACATAGAATGAGTATGGCATTATAACACATCATACATAGAATGAGTATGGCATTATAACACATCCTACATAGAATGAGTATGGCATTATAACACATCATACATAGAATGAGTATGGCATTATAACACATCCTACATAGAATGAGTATGGCATTATAACACATCCTACATAGAATGAGTATGGCATTATAACACATCCTACATAGAATGAGTATGGCATTATAACACATCCTACATAGAATGAGTATGGCATTATAACACATCCTACATAGAATGAGTATGGCATTATAACACATCCTACATAGAATGAGTATGGCATTATAACACATCCTACATAGAATGAGTATGGCATTATAACACATCCTACATAGAATGAGTATGGCATTATAACACATCCTACATAGAATGAGTATGGCATTATAACACATCCTACATAGAATGAGTATGGCATTATAACACATTATACATAGAATGAGTATGGCATTATAACACATCCTACATAGAATGAGTATGGCATTATAACACATCATACATAGAATGAGTATGGCATTATAACACATCCTACATAGAATGAGTATGGCTTTATAACACATCCTACATAGAATGAGTATGGCATTATAACACATCCTACATAGAATGAGTATGGCATTATAACACATCCTACATAGAATGAGTATGGCATTATAACACATCCTACATAGAATGAGTATGGCATTATAACACATCCTACATAGAATGAGTATGGCATTATAACACATCCTACATAGAATGAGTATGGCATTATAACACATCCTACATAGAATGAGTATGGCATTATAACACATCCTACATAGAATGAGTATGGCATTATAACACATCATACATAGAATGAGTATGGCATTATAACACATCCTACATAGAATGAGTATGGCTTTATAACACATCCTACATAGAATGAGTATGGCATTATAACATCCTACATATAATGAGTATGGCTTTATAACACATCGTACATAGAATGAGTATGGCATTATATCACATTATACATAGAATGAGTATGGCATTATAACACATCCTACATAGAATGAGTATGGCATTATAACACATTATTCATAGAATGAGTATGGCATTATAACAAATTATACATAGAATGAGTATGGCTTTATAACGCATTAACATAGAATGAGTATGTCATTATAACACATCCTACATAGATTGAGTATGGCATTATAACACATCCTACATAGAATGAGTATGGATTTATAACACATCCTACATAGAATGAGTATGGTATTATAGCACATTATACATAGAATGAATATGGCATTATAACACATCCTACATAGAATGAGTATGGCTTTATAACGCATTAACATAGAATGAGTATGTCATTATAACACATCCTACATAGAATGAGTATGTCATTATAACACATCCTACATAGATTGAGTATGGCATTATAACACATTATTCATAGAATGAGTATGGCATTATAACACATTATACATAGAATGAGTATGGCTTTATAACACATTATACATAGAATGAGTATGGCATTATAACACATCCTACATAGAATGAGTATGGCTTTATAACTCGTCCTATATAGAATGAGTATGGCATTATAACACATCCCACATAGAATGAGTATGGCATTATAACACATTATACATAGAATGAGTATGGCATTATAACACATTATATATTAACTTTGAATACCATATATACGGATATTAAAGCACTCATGAAAAATAATCATATATTCTGTACTATGAGTAAATATATCTGGCATTTAAAAGGGAAAATATTAAATATTCTTTACATTACTTTACTGCATCCAAAAGTGGGGAAACAGATTGTTTCAATAAAGTGAATAGATGTATCCTTCTGATTGGTCAATTAATAGTGATATTTTCACACAGTTCTGATCGATCAATTAATAGTGATATTTTCACACAGTTCTGATTGATCAATTAATGGTGATATTTTCACACAGTTCTGATTGATCAATTAATTCTGATATTTTCACACAGTTCTGATTGATAAATTAATAGTGATATTTTCACACAGTTCTGATTGATCAATTAATGGTGATATTTTCACACAGATCTGATTGATCAATTAATTCTGATATTTTCACACAGTTCTGATTGATAAATTAATAGTGATATTTTCGCACAGTTCTGATTGATCAATTAATGGTGATATTTTCACACAGTTCTGATTGATCAATTAATGGTGATATTTTCACACAGCTCTGATTGATCAATTAATAGTGATATTTTCACACATTTCTGATTGATCAATTAATAGTGATATTTTCACACAGCTCTGATTGATCAATTAATAGTGATATTTTCACACAGCTCTGATTGATCAATTAATAGTGATATTTTCACACAGTCCTGATTGATCAATTAATGGTGATATTTTCACACAATTCTGATTGATCAATTAATTCTGATATTTTCACACAGTTCTGATTGATAAATTAATAGTGATATTTTCACACAGTTCTGATTTATCAATTAATAGTGATATTTTCACACAGTTCTGATTGATCAATTAATTGGGGTTTTTTTCACACAGTTCTGATTGATCAATTAATAGTGATATTTTCACACAGTTCTGATTGATCAATTAATAGTGATATTTTCACACAGTTCTGATTGATCAATTAATTGGTTTTTTTTTCACACAGTTCTGATTGATCAATTAATAGTGATATTTTAGTGATATCTACCTTGATATTTGTCACAGTGTGAAATTACAAATGTTCTGTAGGAGTTCCAACTTCACAAATTATTTTCCTGAAATTCTGAACCTGGTGTTCTCCTGACAGACACAGACAACTGTTATTATGTTCTCCTGACAGACACAGACAACTGTTATTATGTTTTACTGACAGACACAGACAACTGGCATTATGTTATACTGACACACACAGACAACTGTTATTATGTTATACTGACAGACACAGACAACTGTTATTATGTATTGATGTAGCAATACTTACCCCAGCATAAAACATTTTGTTCCAAAAGCGACTCTTAAAATTTTCTGGATTTGCCTCTGAAAGTAAAGAAAAAACACCATTAAAACAGTCTCTTATAGAGTCTATTGATATATTTGTTATACAGTTTAGCAACAAAGTACCAACATTTATAAATTTGTTATACAGTTTAGCAACATAGTACCAATATTTTTTTAATTGTTATACAGTTAACAACATAGCACCAATATTGATATATTTGTTATACAGTCACAACTGTTATTATGTTATACTGACAGACACAGACAACTGTTATTATGTATTGATGTAGCAATACTTCCCCCAGCATAAAACATTTTGTTCCAAAAGCGACTCTTAAAATTTTCTGGATTTGCCTCTGAAAGTAAAGAAAAAACTCCATTAAAACAGTCTCTTATAGAGTCTATTGATATAGTTGTTATACAGTTTAGCAACAAAGTACCAACATTTATATATTTGTTATACAGTTTGGCAACATAGCACCAATATTGATATATTTGTTATACAGTCACAACTGTTATTATGTTATACTGACAGACATACACAACTGTTATTATGTTATACTGACAGACACAGGCAACTGTTATTATGTTATACTGACAGACAAAGACAACTGTTATTATGTTATACTGACAGACACAGACAACTGTTATTATGTATTGATGTAGCAATACTTCCCCCAGCATAAAACATTTTGTTCCAAAAGCGACTCTTAAAATTTTCTGGATTTGCCTCTGAAAGTAAAGAAAAAACACCATTAAAACAGTCTCTTATAGAGTCTATTGATATAGTTGTTATACAGTTTAGCAACAAAGTACCAACATTTATAAATTTGTTATACAGTTTAGCAACATAGTACCAATATTTATAGTTTAGCAACATAGTACCAATATTTATATATTTGTTATATAGTTTAGCAACATAGCACCAATATTGATATATTTGTTATACAGTTAAGCAACAAAGTACCAATATTTATTTATTTGTTATACAGTTTAGCAACATAGTACCAAAATTGATATATTTGTTATACAGTTTAGCAACAAGGTACCAACATTTATATATTTGTTATACAGTTTGGCAACATAGCACCAATATTGATATATTTGTTATACAGTTAAGCAACAAAGTACCAATATTTATTTATTTGTTATACAGTTTAGCAACATAGTACCAATATTTTTTTAATTGTTATACATTTAACAACATAGCACCAATATTGATATATTTGTTATACAGTCACAACTGTTATTATGTTATACTGACAGACACAGACAACTGTTATTATGTTATACTGACAGACACAGACAACTGTTATGATGTATTGATGTAGCAATACTTACCCCAGCATAAAACATTTTGTTCCAAAAGCGACTCTTAAAATTTTCTGGATTTGCCTCTGAAAGTAAAGAAAAAACACCACTAAAACAGTCTCTTATAGAGTCTATTGATATATTTGTTATACAGTTTAGCAACAAGGTACCAACATTTATATATTTGTTATACAGTTTAGCAACATAGCACTTACCCCAGCATAAAACATTTTGTTCCAAAAGCGACTCTTAAAATTTTCTGGATTTGCCTCTGAAAGTAAAGAAAAAACTCCATTAAAACAGTCTCTTATAGAGTCTATTGATATAGTTGTTATACAGTTTAGCAACAAAGTACCAATATTTATATAGTTGTTATACAGTTTAGCAACAAAGTACCAATATTGATATATTTGTTATATGGTTTAGCAACATAGTACCAATATTTACAGTTTGGCAACATAGTACCAATATTTTTTTAATTGTTATACAGTTTAGCAACATAGCACCAATGTTGATATATTTGTTATACAGTTTAGCAACAAAGTACCAATATTTATATATTTGTTATACAGTTTAGCAACATAGCACTTACCCCAGCATAAAACATTTTGTTCCAAAAGCGACTCTTAAAATTTTCTGGATTTGCCTCTGAAATAAAGAAAAAACACCATTAAAACAGTCTCTTATAGACTCTATTGATATATTTGTTATACAGTTTAGCATCAAAGTACCAACATTTATATATTTGTTATACAGTTTGGCAACATAGCACCAATATTGATATATTTGTTATACAGTCACAACTGTTATTATGTTATACTGACAGACACAGACAAATGTTATTATGTATTGATGTAGCAATACTTACCCCAGCATAAAACATTTTGTTCCAAAAGCGACTCTTAAAATTTTCTGGATTTCCCTCTGAAAGTAAAGAAAAAACACCATTAAAACAGTCTCTTATAGACTCTATTGATATATTTGTTATACAGTTTAGCATCAAAGTACCAACATTTATATATTTGTTATACAGTTTGGCAACATAGTACCAATATTTATATATTTGTTATACAGTTTAGCAACAAAGTACCAATATTTATATAGTTGTTATACAGTTTAGCAACAAAGTACCAATATTTATATATTTGTTATTTGGTTTAGCAACATAGCACCAATATTGATATATTTGTTATACAGTTTAGCAACAAAGTACCAATATTTATATATTTGTTATTTGGTTTAGCGACGTAGCACCAATATTGATATATTTGTTATATGGTTTAGCAACAAAGTATCAATATTTATATATCGAAGTTTAAGGCATTAAACTTAGTTTATACCAGTAATAACCTTTTAATACATATATAGTCGCTATATCATATGTATTAGCTGTAGGGGCAGTAACCATGGTTACATCCCCAATTTCGGTCCCCTCATTTTCTAAATCTGAGTATGTGACAAGAATTAACATACATACATACATATTCATGTGATCTATATAAAGCTTGATGTTGAGTGGCTGCCACAACTTTGACCGGTCACGTGACCATGGTCTGGTCTCATCTTTCAGACAGCTTTGTAGCGCGCCGTTGTAATCCAGCAACTTTGTTTTCACTTCTTCCCTATTCCTAATCTGGGACAATTAACATCACTATAATAGACATTGGACATACGGATGAGATAGTTTTGGTGTTCGAAATGTAACTTTGGTTACATTCTTGGAAGAACAGAATTGAAGCAAAAGCATTGTGAGGCCGATGAACTAACGTGCTTACGATCACAATGGCGGGACGCCGAGCCAAAAGACAAAAAACTTCTGGCGATTCTCTTGACATGACAAACTATCTAAATTGGAGTACAACTCGATTGCGACATGAACTTGGTGTTAAAAGTATTGTGTCATCACCGACGTTCACGTTAACCACACTGAGACGCCTTTATGTGGACAATGTTCTCACGAACGCAAATTCTACTGATACTAGCGTTACTACTGATCAACAGAACGATGTTATTGTTCATTCGGAAGCATCGCCTTGACAAACACGATCGTCTCAACGCATACAAGAATCAGACATTGAGTCAGACGACGTAGTACACATCAACGAGACTGTACGACCAATCCACTGTCAAGAACAAGGATCTATGTTTCAGCAAAGAAATAGTGCTGCCACAGCGCGTAGTGATACGAACAATACCGGAAATGACATTTCCAACATGGCCGCCTCCATGTTTGGTCAGTTTATGGCTGGCATGAGCCAATTTTTCATGGACTTCATGTCACAACAGAATAGCCAGACATCGAAAGATGTCACCCTTGCCCAGGTCTACAGCCAGGAAGCACAACAGTCACTTTTGGCAGGTAATCTGACCATGCCGCGCCACACAGCGACAATCAACAGAATAAGATCGTTTGGAGTATCTCCAGAGGATTTGGGCCACCTGGACCTAGTTACCGGCAAAGTCAAGGGCGACATAATTGACGGTAAGGATGTCAATCTGGCGTCATTACTCATTCCATATTTTGATTTAGAGGGGAAGAGTCAGGACGATGCAAGTCTGAAACGAAACTTAACGATTGGAGAGTTCATTACCGCATTCGGTAAATACAAACGTGTAATGTGCCGGCCTACCCGGATCGAAGAGACGAACTAGATGCCTATGAAGCAAACATAGTTAACATTTACAACTCTTACGGCAGTAAGTTCTACGAATATCATAAGATGTTTTCGCTAAAAAGTGCCACTGCCCTTCAACAACAAGCCATAAAAGTAGATTGGTCCATGAAAGATCGCGACTTACTGTTACTCATATAGGTGGCATTAAATCTAGGAACTGTGCGAAATGTGGGGAAGTCTCGCATGATACATTTCTGTCCATTGGTACAATCAGGGCCTTTTAGTAAGGCAGGTAATTCAAACCAGAACAGCAGTAGAAGGCAGGATATTGAGACAGACAGGCATGGTAGGAAAAGAGTGTTTCATGAAGGAACAGAAGTTTGCATTAACTTCAATGGATCACGTGGTTGCAATAGAGCAAATTGCCCTCTGAAACATGTCTGCATCCATTGTAAAGCGACGGGTTTGACTCTGGTCATTATAAAGACAGTGCTGCTTCAACGTCAACCAAGTCGAAACATACCAACTGACTACATAATTCCATGGATGGCTCCATACACAGAGAAACAGTAAAAACATGCATAGACGTGACACAGCTACAGACTGAACTTACCAATCATGAAGATCAACATTTTGTAAATTATTTAATAGAAGGACTTACATATGGTTTTGACACAATGGTACAGACCACTGACCTACATTGTACCTCCGAAAGAATGCAAAAATGTACAATCTGCCTTAAAGCAAAAAGATGTTGTTGATAGACTTCTACAAAGTGAACTAGATAAAGGCTTTTTCGAAGGACCATTTTCAACATCTCCATTTTCACAATATCGCGTGTCGCCAATAGGGGTAGCAGAAGGAAAATATTCATATAAAAAACGTTTGATAGTCGACCTTTCTTCACCCCACAACAGTGAGCACTCCAGTATAAACGACCTCATAGATAAAGAACAATGTTCACTCACATATGTTAAAATTGATGACGCTATCAAAGAAATTGTGAAGTGTGGACGACGAGCTATGATGTGTAAAACTGTTATCAACGATGCTTTCAAGTTGATACCAATCTCACCAGATCAACATCATTTGTTTTGTATCAAATGGCAAGGAATGTATTATTATTACACACGTTTGGCTTTTGGGTGCCGATCAAGCCCCAAGATATTTGATACTTTATCCACTGCCATATGCTGGATTGCTCTTAACAATTATGACATTAAGTTTATTTTACACTTGTTAGATGATTTCCTCACGTGTGATCAATCAGACTTGGTCAAATATCAGAGTTACTGCAGCTCATTGTCATCAGCAATTGAAATTAAGATACTCTACAATCAAATTGTACTTGTGCGGTATTCAACATTTTTTCCTGTCATCAGCAGTGGAATGTCCTCTGTACACCCAGAATTCCAATTTTGCTCGTTTACAGTTGGTTATGAATGGCATCAAAAGAATGGACGGACGTCCCAAGTTAGCTCGGTATCCAGTGACCTTTCCAGTGGTACATGCCCTTTGCACATGCACGGCTACGGAAAGGTGTATTCAATATCAAGTTAGACAGAATGATGGAAACAGCTTGTGTAGTTGCTTTCTTTGGCTTTCTATGATGTGGAGAATTCACGTGTACGAATTCCTTTGATCCGACAACCAATTTATGTGTAAGTGATATTACGAGAGCTGATGATCACACCATACTGTCATTGAAAATGTCAAAAACAGACCCTTTCAGGAAGGGTGTTCACATACGGCCTTTCTGTACCTCACAGTCAGTATGTTCAAAGTGTGTTTTAGACAAGTAGGTTCCTACCAGATATCGCGAGGGTGCCACGTCAACTGATGCACTATTTGTAGCAACAAATGGACAACCATTAACAAGAAAGTTTTTCATCGGGATGCTACGCCAAGTGCTTTCACTTTGTGGTTTGAATCAGATCTCTACAATGGGCATTCTTTTCGCATAGCGGCCGCCACTTCTGCTGCCTCCAAACACATTGAAGACCTTTTAATACAGACTATGGGGCGATGGTCCTCTGATTCATACTGTCGGTATATACGCACCTCAAAGGAAGTTCTGCATTCAGCTCAAAAGTGTTTTAAGTGAATTATAAGTGTCTCGACACATATAGTTAAATTGACATGCTTTTACAAGACATTCATACAACTTGACTTTGATATGTATATAATTTATGATTTCACTTACAACTATCAGTACCTGTATACATGTGTACAGGTATACTGTATATGTACATTTGAATGATAAATGGTGCATGTAATTTGTCAATCTTTATTACCAATACGTGTCAAACTTCATTAGAGTAACATATATGTATTATCATGACAACTGTTTTTTGTATAAGATATAATTAGGGTCCATATCAAGGTGTTTACATTTATTACTTGGGGATTATCAGCTGCTCACAGACACCTTTTTGCACCTGAAATTTTGGACATCATTCTTACAATAAATTTCCCAATTAATAAATTTCTGTGCAACATTCTCAATCAGTTTCAGAGAGTTCCACAGCCCTCGTTGTGGCAGTATGCCTTCTCCTTCATGTATACTGAGTAACTTTTACCCTCGTAGATGTTACAACTCTTTGAGATTGAAGCACGGAATTTAAATAGGTCAAGCAGCAAGGACACGAGCAAATTAGTCTTAATCATACTATTAATATTATAATAGTGTCAATTGAAAAATCATATAATTTCACAGAGTTCCACAGCCCTCGTTGTGGCAGTACCAACATCCCTGTGGGTACTGTGAAACTTCTACCTTCGTAGATTTTCCAACTCTGTGAAATTTATGCATTACAAGATCCTAGTCCACTGCTGCTTGATTTGTCATCTACTGATCACTACAGAGCAATTCTGCCCAGCACTACAGAGCAATTCTGCACCCTGGTTAGCCTCCTCTGACCATCTATATCAAATTCTATGTTACACGACATTTCTGATGAAGAGCAGCTGAGATAATCTTCAATCCAAGCAGAGATAGGATGTTTAGATTGTATGTATAATATGTATGTTGTTGTATATAAACATGTAAATTTAAATGTTGCAAGTTTTTTTTGTAATAGATTCAGAGGAAACTAGTACTGTCGTTTGTGTTATTATTACTGGTATAAATTTGTTATACAGTTTAGCAACATAGTACCAATATTTATATATTTGTTATATGGTTTAGCAACATAGTACCAAGATTTACAGTTTAGCAACATACTACCAATATTTATAGTTTAGCAACAAAGTACCAATATTTATAGTTTAGCAACATAGGACCAATATTTATATATATTTGTTATACGGTTTAGCAACATAGCACCAATATTGATATATTTGTTATACAGTTTAGCAACAAAGTACCAATATTTATTTATTTGTTATACAGTTTAGCAACATAGTACCAATATTTATATATATTTGTTATACGGTTTAGCGACATAGCACCAATATTGATATATTTGTTATACAGTTTAGCAACAAAGTACCAATATTTATTTATTTGTTATACAGTTTAGCAACATAGTACCAATATTGATATATTTGTTATATGTTTTAGCAACATAGTACCAATATTTATATATTTGCTATATGGTTTAGCAACATAGTACCAATATTTACAGTTTAGCAACATACTACCAATATTTATAGTTTAGCAACATAGTACCAATATTTACAGTTTAGCAACATATTACCAATATTTGTATATTTGCTATACAGTTTAGCAACATAGAACCAATATTGATATATTTGTTATATGGTTTAGCAACATAGTACCAATATTGATATATTTGTTATACCGTTTAGCAACATAGTACCAATATTGATATATTTGTTATATGGTTTAGCAACATAGTACCAATATTTATATATTTGCTATATGGTTTAGCAACATAGTACCAATATTTATAGTTTAGCAACATAGTACCAATATTTACAGTTTAGCAACATATTATCAATATTTGTATATTTGCTATACAGTTTAGCAACATAGAACCAATATTGATATATTTGTTATATGGTTTAGCAACATAGTACCAATGTTTACATTTTAGCAACATACTACCAATATTTATAGTTTAGCAACATAGTACCAATATTTATATATTTGTTATATGGTTTAGCAACATAGTACGAATATTTACAGTTTAGCAACATAGTACCAATATTTATATATTTGCTATATGGTTTAGCAACATAGTACCAATATTTATATATTTGTTATATGGTTTAGCAACAAAGTACCAATATTTATATATTGGTTATAGTTTAGCAACAAAGGACCAATATTGATATATTTTGTTATACAGTTTAGCAACAAAGTACCAACATTTATATATTTGTTATACAGTTTGGCAACATAGTACCAATATTGATATATTTGTTATACAGTTTAGCAACATAGTACCAATATTGATATATTTGTTATACAGTTTAGCAACATAGCACCAATATTTATATATATGTTATACAGTTTAGCAACATATTACCAATATTTGTATATTTGCTATACGGTTTAGCAACATAGAACCAATATTGATATATTTGTTATATGGTTTAGCAA